TTCTTCATGAACCACATTCGGTACTTTCACTTTAATCCTTTTGAGATTTTATTTTATTTTTATTTTATTTAATGGACTTAATGGGAATATGAGTTAATCGGGTAAGCTATATGTTTGTGTTTCCTTTTAAGAATGACTTAAAAGTTAAAAGAGAAAAGTAAGAGAAATGAGAATTCTCAATTAAGGGTGTGTCATATTTAATTAATCATTTATAGGGAAAGAAGGGCTAAATAGTAAATAATGCATGAAATGAAAGTAGGATGTTATAACAAATAAACAAAAGTACATTGCTACTTCTTGCATTTAACCATAAAGTGATAAAATGTTCGATTTTTATACAGACAAATTCGAGTGAAATAATGAACTTCATATTGATTGATGGTACGTGGAGCAATTCGGCTGCAATGTTTAGGCGTTTGAAGGTAATTGATTTTTTGTGGGACCCATTTTAATTTACTTAAAAATATCTTATTCCAATTTTACTTAAAACCTTTTTCTACTTCGTTTAATACTTTTTCAGTCCTATGAAAATTGCAATGCTTCCTTTGTGTACATTTTCTTAAGATTAAACTTAATTGAAGATACATAATTGAGTTAAACCTTTTGATTTGGTCACTAAACTATTATTTTATTATGATTATGATAATAATAGTGTGGGTTTTATGTAGAAAAGTCTCATTATTCTGGGAAATATTTTGATAAAGTCCTAAATATATATATATTTTTTAACAGAAAAGTCTCATTATTTTGGGAAAATCACATAATCTGTCATTTTCTGTTAAAATAAAAAAACAGATGTTTTCGTTAATTTGGCAAAATGTTAAAATAAGCGGGACTTTTCTGTTTAAAAAAATAAAAAAATTAGGACTTCATAAATTTTTTTCCCAAAATAATGAAACTTTTCTGCATAAAACCCATAGTAGTGCAATGGCTTAATCAATAATAAAATAGTAATTGAATTGCTAAATCGATAAATTCGTGAAAATATGTTGTACCCTTATGTATTTTATCTATATGTAATTTGGAAAAATGGTTAAAAAAGTAATGGTTTTTTAATCGCTAGAGAAAATAGTCTAGCAACCAAATCGATAAAATATTGAAAATACAATTGTTATTTTTTTCTTTTTTGGAAACTTTCTATAATAAATTGTTCGTATCATAATTCCAAGAACTATACAATTGATTTATGCTATCAAAATATTTTTCTTGTCTTTATTCAAGGGTAATTTAGGTAATCATTAAAATAGTCCGATGTTCTTTTTATCTTCTTACAGGAACGAGCCGATTTAGTATGGGGGGAGGATCTTCCGTGCATCTCACTCACCACAGGCGTATCCGCAATGCATAAACTTCGGTAAGATACGTACGGCCATTCATTTTTCTCACATGACAGAGGACAAACAGAACAAGTTGCACTGTGTTTGACATGACATGACAAGACAGGACAGATATCAAGTGAACAAAAGTTCTACTTTTTTGTCCCACCCAAAAAGTTGGTACCGTGATGCGCTTTTGCTCTCGATCTCTCTGTTTGTGTAAAAGACGTAAATGCCCTTGTCATCCTGAGACTGTCGCGTTAATTTTTTTGCAGGCCGCAACCATCATGGGACCGGACGTGTACAGCCGCAGCAGCGATTGGGCTGCTAGATGAGTTGCATCTTGTTTCGGAATTTGAGTCGTTAGGGTTGAATAAACAAGCGGAAGCAGTTGAGAATAGTGTAGATGTGTTATTGGCATCACTTACGGGTCGAAGGCTTCGTATGGGTCGCTCCATTACTCGTAGACTAGGACACCATGATGACATTTGTTAGTTTTTTTTTTAGAATAAATACTCGTGATCGTAATTGAAAAAAGAACACAACCATGTATACAAATCTTGCAAAAAATGAAGTTGGTATTTGTCTTTTTGTCGAAACTTACAATATTTTTGTAGAAATCTTTTTTGTATTTGAGCAAATTGCAAAATTGGTCCTTGTTGTATCGCAAAAAGTGCTGTTCGAATCTTTTTTTTTTGATGGTCAGTCAATGCATAAATACATAAAATATGAGAATAACGCAATTTCATCAATGGATGAGTATCATCTATAAAAATAGATTCACTCGCTAGAAAATTTGTCAAACAAATCCAAGTAGTGACAAAAACATGTCTCATGCATCACGAGTATGAATATGAGGGGTTTATGTAATACACTGTGATAATTACGTGATGTAAACATAAATAAATGAGTAAATTACTGAAATCGTCCTTATGCTTTGATTAAAATTGTATGTTTGGTTCCTAATTTTTATTTTGTACTCGGATTGTCCCTATGGTTTGATTTTGTTGCGTTTTTTGTTCTTATGGTTGGTCAAAATTGCACATTTGATCCATAACTTTATGTATGCAAGGGAAGAAAAACACAACAAAATAAAACCATAGGAACGATCCGAATGCAAAAGAAAAAGTAAGAACCAAACGTATAATTTTAACCAAACTATAGGGACTGTTTTAGTAATTTACTCTAAGTGAGTAAAAGCACGTAAATCAAGTTGGCAACCCACGGACAATAAAACAAATAGAGTTACGAGGCAACCGTTGATACAATGAGGGAAGAAATTTCATACGTTGATGTTTGAGTAAATTACACGAATGATCCCTATGGTTTAAGGTAATTTGCGCGTTTGGTCCCTAACTTATTTTTTTAACTCGGAGGGTTCCTACTGTTTGTTTTTGTTACACGCTTGGTCCATGTTTTACCTAAAAATACTATTTTTATCTTCATTTTTTAATTTATTTAAATAATCACACCCCCAACCTCATTCCTCTCACCTTACCTTACTTACCCACTATTTTTCCCTATTTAAATAATATCCTTTATAGGTAAGATAGGGACCAAACGTGTAATAAAAACAAACAATAGGGACTAAGCATGTAACAAAAACAGAAAATGGAAACTTTCCGAGTTAAAAAAATAAGTTAGGGATCAAACGTACAAATTACCCAAAATCATAAGGATCATTCGTGTAATTTACTCTTGATGTTTAGTGATAACGAAAAACAATATAAAAGAGGGCATACAACAAACATCATGTAAATGGTTAGTGTAAGGGAAGAAATCATACATCATACATGTGAAGGTTTGTTCAAACTCGAATTATCTCATCTTTAGATATAGTTACATTAAGGCTTTTCTTAGTGGAGGAGGGAATAACGAAATACAAGTAGCAAAACCAATTTCAACGCTTAAGATCGTTAAGCCCTAGAATCAATTAAAATGGATGAAAAATAACTTTTTTAATTTTGAATGGGAGGATGCTTATAAGTTTCAGAGTAAATTACATGAATGGTCTCTATGGTTTGGGGTAATTTACACGTTTGATCCATAATTATTTATTTATTTATTTATTTATTATTATTATTTTTTTTAACTCGAAAGACCCTACAGTTTGTTTTTCTTTGTGTGTTTGGTCCATGTCTTACCTAAAAAGATGATTTTGACATTGATTTTTTAATTTATTTAAATTAGGTGGGATAGGAAAGATAAGATAAGGTAAAATGGAAGAGTTAGAGGTGTGTTTATTTAAATAAAATAAAAAAATCAATAACAAAATAGTCTTTTTAGGGAAGATATGAATCAAGCGTGCAACAAAAACAAACAGTAAGAACCTACTGAGTTAAAAAATAAGTTAGGACTAAACATGCAAATTATCTCAAACGATATGGACCTGTAATTTACTCTAAGTTTTATCCTTTGAATTTAGCTTTAACCAAATAAAAACTGACAGGAGCCAATTTAAGATGTCTAATCTCCTAGAAATTAAGAAGAAAAAGGATTAAAAACACATGAGAGTGGAACAATTTTCTGCTTAATTCTTGAACTCAAACATACGATTACATTCAAATAAATATGCTTCTAAACTCTAAACTTCATGCAACAAATAAAAAGGAGAAAAGAATGGGAACGTGACCTACTGCACCAGTGGGAAACATGCTAATTAACATTAAAGAAACATGCATGCAAAATGAAAGGTGGGTTCCTAATAACACGCAACAAGCTACTCTTTGACTAAATAAAAGGAAACGTGGCTAACGAAAATAGGCTAAATAGGTTCGTATCAAAAACATGACATACAAAACCCAAACACATAAAAGGTTGCCAATGTGGTGGTGGTGGCGGAGGTTGTGACGGATGTGGTGGTGGTAGTTGTGGTTGTGGTGGTAGTGACGATGATGGAGGTGGTGCACGTGGTGAGAGTGGTGGAAAAAGAAATATTATCTTATAATTAGAACTTTGAAAAAGTCTTTCATAATCAAAATTTATTTTTTTGTCTTATCGGAAAAATGTTAAAAATGAGTTTTTATGTCATTTGTCTCCTTAAAACAAACAGCATTTTCCTTAAACGTCTTTCCACCGTAGACATAATAGGTTAAAAAGACTTTTTGGCAACAAACAAACTTCAACTTAACCTTGACATACATTTCAAATTTGAAACGGAATACATATTATAAAAACAAACCAAGAACTAATAAGAAGCTAGAACAAAACAAAAGTTACAACATTACAAAAAAGAAAAAGGGCTAATGCCACAAAAACCCTCAATTTTGCACAAAATTGACGGATTTACCCAAAGTTCAAATTTAGGTCCATTTTTGCCTTGAACTTGTATTTATTGTGCCGTTTTTGCCAAGTAGCCGGTTTCCCTCTAATCAACCGGTTACCCACTTGTTTAGGTGGAAGGCTAATTAACGGCGTTTGTAAAAATCTCCAATTCGGTTAGATACGTTGTTAAACCGTCGTATCTCATCTCCCTCTATAACCCGATCACTCTTCACCTTATCCCATTTCATCGACTCTATACACAGAGAAAAAAAAGGGTTTTCTTGGAGACGATTAGGTTAAAAGTGTTCTTCAACATTTCTTCGAAAGGTAACGTTTTTACAGGTTGACTGAAATTACATTTACATTCAACATTTGTTGAAATGTGTTCCTAAAGTTAGTGTGTTGATGCAGGAGGGTGTAATGGCTTCATCAGACGAAGGGTACGCTGACCCCTTTGCTGGCATACATGAGCCATTTGCTGGCTTGACTGAAATGGATTTTGAACTCCACGACATTTACATGGACCACGAACCAGAGGAAGAATTTGTGTCCTCACTTGATAAATGTAAGGATATCTTCCTAAATGTTCTATTAAGTGATGAAAACCTACGAAATTCTAGTATGGCAAATGAAATCAAAGCACAAGTATACCATGCTACTGATTGGCAGAGTGATGAAGATGAACAGGAGGTATTGAAAAACAACTATAGAATTCATGACCCAACCATCAAGTGGGACAAGATGGTACCAAAGCTTGGTGACATCTTTGAATCCCCTGCCCAACTGAAGTTTTGTGTCACCAATTATGTAGTCTCACATGGCTATAGAATATTCTTTGAAAAATGTGATAGTAAAAGAATTGTAGCTAGATGTGGAAATAGGAAGGAAGAGAATAAATGCCCTTTCAGAATTTATGCTGCATGGATGTACAAAGAAAGATCTTTTCAGATCAAAGCTATGAATGGTGACCATAAATGTTCTAGGCAGTTTAAGTTTGGATCCATTGTGTCCCTTGAATGGATTGGAAGACATTATGTGACTGAAATTGCAAATAAGCCAAAGATGAAACTTCAGGAAATGATTGACGAAATTAGACAAAGGTATAGGTGTGTGGTATCTATAGGACAAGTTAGAAGGGCAAGGAAATGGGCCAAAAATTTAATAGAAGGTAAACTCACTGAGCATTATGCAAGGATATGGGATTATGCCCATGAATTGTTAAGGTCAAACCCGGGGTCCACATGTCAAGTTGGTGTAACAACCAATCCAGATGGAATGAATTATTTTCACAGGTTTTACATTTGTTTCAAAGCACTAAGTGTTAGCTGGAAAAGAGGATGTAGGAGAGTAATTGGGCTAGATGGGTGCTTTCTAAAGGGGCAGGTGAAGGGTGAACTGCTAACAACCATTGGTATAGATGCCAACAACCAGGTTTATCCAATTGCTTGGGTTGTTGTTGATGTGGAAAATAAGTCTAACTGGACTTGGTTCCTTGAGCTACTCAGTGGTGATCTAGACCTTATTGATGGAAGGGGGTTGATAGTTATATCAGATCAACATAAAGTAAGTTTCTTTATAACATATTAATACTTTTTCAAATTACTTATAAATACTTACATGTATGCTGGTTTTTGTATAGGGTTTGTTGCAATCTGTTAAAGATGTATTGCCACATGTGGAGCACAGGCAATGTGCCCGACACATATATGCAAATTTTAGAAAAGCTTACACTGGGTTGGAGTTCAAGAAGCTGTTTTGGGCTGCAGCTATGAGCTGTGTGGAAGGTGATTTCAAGAGACATATGGACAAAATTAAAAAGCTCAATACTGGTGCATATGAGCATCTGATGTCCAAAGAACCCGAAACATGGTGTAGAGCTTACATGAGTACAGGGTATGCATGTGAGGCAGTGGAGAATGGTATATCAGAGTGCTTCAACTCCATCATTGTGGATGCTAGGAAAAAACCATTGATCACAATGCTTGAAGAAATAAGGATATACATCATGGATAGGTTTGCTCACATGATTGAGGAAAGCACTAGATGGAATACCCGTATATGTCCAGCAGTGTTAAAGAAGATGAAGCTTTTTGGGAAGAACATGAGGTAACACACTAACATGTAACTTTTGTTTTAATTTCATTAGGTAAAACTTGAACATGTAACTTTTGGATGTAGGTTTTGGTTAATAATTCATAGTCAACAACATGTGTTTGAAGCAAGGAGAGGATGTGATAGCTACATGGTGGATTTAGATGGAAGGCATTGTACCTGCAGGTTATGGGATCTGGCTGGGATCCCATGTGTTCATGCAATTGCAACCATCAACTACATCCATCAAACACCTGATGAGTATATTGATGACATGTTTTCCAAGGAACAATTCCTTAAGTGTTACTCTGCTAACATTAGTCCAGTGAATGGTTCAAATCTATGGCCTCAAACTGAATACATAAAGCCCTTGCCACCAGTGTCAAGGAGAATGCCTGGTAGGCCAAAGGTCAACAGAAGGAGACATGTAAGTGAAAATGATGGAAGAGTACACACCCCAAGAACTGTAAGGTGTGGTAAGTGCTTTGAGTATGGCCATAACCAGAAGGGATGCAAGAATGCAACCAGGGAACCTATCCCTATGCCACCAAAGAAGAAAGGAAGGCCAAGGAAGGAACAAGATGAACCCAATCAAGCATCATGTGATAGGTCTGAGAGGCAGGAACCTGTCCCTATGCCACCAAAGAAGAAAGGAAGGCCTAGGAAGGAAAGGCAGGAAGCAATTCCTATGCCACCAAAGAAGAAAGGAAGGCCAAGGAAAAAGGTCCATTCTGACCCAAATCAAGCATCAGGTTCTAAATCTGTTAAAAGCAAAAATGATGGTTTAGATGGTCATGTTGAAGGTAGGGGATGTGAGGAACAAGTGAAAGATTTGTTTGACAATGAAGATATTGATGATGACAGTCTGATTGATATGATGTGCACTTTTGAAGCTTTTCTTAGCCAACCAAAGGATAATTATCAGAAAAGTGATGGATTCCAAGATGCAATGGATGCTATTATTCAAAGTATTCTTCATGCTAATGATGACAAAGGTGTTGAGGAAGTTGAACCTGACATGACAAAACAACTTGATGAGGTTGAAGATGCAATGGATGCTATTCTTAAAGGTACAGATGAAAAAAGTCAGTCTGAGAATGAGGGTAATCCTGAACCTGAATTCACTGAAGGAAATGCAAGTGATGTTCTCCCAGAGATGGTGATGCTAGATCTAGAAAGTGTAGCAGACCTACTTGGGGCAGGATATAGCATGGCTGAAATAGAGAGCTTGAGAGGGGTTAAAGTTGAATTGGATGATATGCCAGCAGTTGAGATGGTTAGTTTGACTCCATCATTTTATAATTGCTAACATTAGTATCAAACATGTTTATATCTTTTATTAATAAGTATTCTTCAAAATTTTATTAACAGGATGTGAATGAAGTTGAGGATATTCCATATGTTGATGGTGTGATGGAAGGAAATGAAGATGATGGTCTTATAAATGATGGTGTGGAGGGAAATGAGGATCATGGTAAAGGTGATGATGTTGATGAAGTAGCAGGTGAGGGTGATGGTGAGGTTGATGGTGATGGTGCTGGTGAGGGTGATGGAGAGGGTAATGGTGCTGGTGCTGGTGAGGATGATGCAACAGATATGGAGGGAAATGATGCTGATGATGAAGGTCATGTACCACCTAGAAGGACAAGAAAGCCCTCAGAAAGGATCATCCTGCAAAAGTTGAAGAAACCTTGTTTTGACAAAGATGGAAGGGGTTCCACATCTAGCTATCCAGTAGATTTGGAGTAGTTACCTAGGTATATGGGGGCAAAAGTGGGGATGGTATCATTGGGAAATTGTATAGGTAGCCCTTTTTGGTTATTTTTTGATATACACCCACTACTTACAGCATACATCAATTTGTTTAGTGTTACATTATTGGTTGCCTTTTTTGGATATTGTTTAGGCTTTTTGGTACATGTTTTGGTATACAAAATGGATGGCTGCTACATGATAGTAAAACTTATGTAATGGATGCTTTATATTAAGGTTTATAATCGATGCCCCCTATTATGGTAACCATGATGTTTTTATTTTATTTTCTAGTACATGTTAAGCATTAGCAATGTACTTTCATTAGTGCAATTCCTTTTATACAAGTTATTGCAATTCCACTCATGCAAAGTTTACTTTCATTGTGAATGTAACCAAGGGTATTTTAGTACAATTCCTTTTATGCAATGTACTTTCATTATACTTCCATTCATGCAACATATACATGAGATAGCAATTAACTACCATTAATAACATTACCATTAATTGTCACAACTAGAAATTTTATGTCTTGTAATCACTATACTCAAGTAAATGTTGAATTCAAAAACTCAAGAGCATGTATGATGCTTACTCAATGGAAAACTAAACCCCAATTCACTACATCAAGCAATTGGAAACCCTAGAAGTTCTTGATTAGGTCCATTTTGGGACTAGGACTTCCTTATTGGACCTAAATGAACCAATAAGCTTCCAATTTGACTATTATGGGCTTAGAACCCTTAAATGGGCTCTAATTGGACCCACATCTATTTATTTCAACATTTTGGGCCATATTGGGCCTAGAATGAAATAAATTCAAAATTTTGAACCATGATTAACCTAAACTAGCCCAACAAAGTGTAAAAATCATATTATATTTTTTTTAGGTTAAAACTCATCCAAATTAATATACACATGGGCTTGTGGGCATTAAAGCCCAAATTTTCCCTTTTTCCCTCCAAATTCTCGGCCCAAGGCCCAAGCCCAAGAAGAAATGAAGAGGGTTGACTTATAAGTGACACCTCCTTATTGTCTTTTGGATCTCCATGCAATCCATTCCATGTATCCATGCACATCACTTCATGTCTATTTCTCCCTCTCTCTTCTTGTTTCGGCCGTGAGCAACACACACACACACACAAACCTCACACAAACTCTCTCTAGATCACTCAAGACTTCTCTCTTCCTCTCCATCTAAAATCTCGAAATTGGCTTGTGATTCAAGTGGATTCTTCAAGATTATCATCATCCTTTGGTAAGTTTTTCCATGTCTAAGCTTCAAAACTCCCCCCCTCACATGAGATCTCTTAGTCTAAACAAGTTTCTTTGGTGATCATACTCCTAGAAAACTCCATAAACTCGAGATCTTCATCAAGGGGTGCTAGGGCCGAAAAATCACTTCATTTCTTCCATCCTCTCTTCAATAACCGAATCAACACCCAAGGTGAGTTTCATACCCCCTTATTTTTGGTTTTTATAAGTTTTTGTGGGGGAGAATACAAGCAAAGGTGTAGATCCATCATTATGTGTATGTTTTGGTTGGTTTCTATGCTTATATGTATGTTTTGTATGATTTTGATGCTAGATCTAATTATGAATTGCTAAAAACCGAGATATACCTTATACTAGCATGAAATATACTACTACATACAAAGTATGCCAAGAAAAATAGCTAAGTGGCTTAACAATACATACTTTGGGCTAAAAACTCATTTTTTTGACATAAATGTTAAAAATACAAAGTTAAAGGGCCCAAAATGAAATATTTCGAAATCTGATGGGTGAGATGAGTCAAAACATATTCCATGATGTATTTTCTGAAAATATACCCTTTTGGAAGATCAAAAACATAAATTTCAAGCTTAATGGGCTAAAAATGACAATTTCGGCCCAATAGGGCCCATTATGCGAAATTTTCTGTTTTGGAGGGCCAAAACTGTGTTTTTCTGTAAAACAGTGGACTATTAGTGTTACATGTACTTTTCAAAGGTTTAAAATGCTTTTCAAATTTAAAAAGGACCAAAGTTGCAAAAATTTTCCAAATTGGGCCAAAAATGTAAAAATTGCGAAAAAGAGGGGTTATAACCGAGAAAACTGCAATTTCAAGGACTTAAACTGTTTTAAATGAAAAATATGCTGAAAAACATTAATTTCAATAATTTTTGGTGTTAAAAATTATTTTACCTAAAGGGGTGAAAAAGTAAATTTACAAAATTAAGAGGGGTTGTAAACAGAAAATTTTCAATGATAATTCAATACACTCGTTGTGAACAAAGATTGACACTACGACTCTCGATAAATTACAATACACAATATCCCCAACAATCGTTATCAAACGAATTGATTCGGTCTCGAATCGATAACAAATCCAAAACTACTAACACTACAACGCTCAATACACATATGGAACTCTCGAAACTCTTTACTCTCGTGGAATTACTCAATACGTCGACGTACACTCCTTAGGCCCAAAAGTTGCAAATCATGCTTGTCGAGCCTAGCTAGCCCGATGACATGATCTTTAGGCCCAAAGGACACTTGCTTACATGTAGTTGGGTCTAATACGACTCGACCGCGTGTAAAAGGACTTTCAATGGCAAACATGCTGCTGGTCCCCAAGGGTCCTTCAGTGCTGCTAGTAAAGTCAGGAACTCACGATTGCGGGTTGGGCTTCGGGCCTTCGCAATTGCAATGGTCTTGAACGACGCGGGGAAATACCGAGGGTCTCGCACCTTCTCTTCTTCCCTCCGGTCGTGGGACTACACAAGTCCGGGAGGATTGAGTTGTGTGAATAACTGCGAGTGACGCCTAAGGGATCGCTTGTAAGGTTGTCGACTGGACGTTTTCATTAACGGACGTCACAACAATTCACCACCCACTGTATACTCAATGCCTCCGGAGCTCATCGAATACCTCTAACGCAACGAAATAACAGTACACAAACTAAGTAAAGCAAAGTGATAGGAAAACGTCGGGTTTTCCTAGGGTTTTCAACTAATACACTTACGAATTACATGCCGAATTTTACAACTCGTACGCTTACATCTAAAGAAAACAAACAAGCATACTTACGGATCTTCACATTTTTTTTTCACCATACTATTTTCAGAAAATATCGGTTTTCTGGTGGTTTTCGAAACGATACAAACATTGGATTTCAAACATTACTTATGAACTCACCAACATTTCATATGTTGACGTTTTTTTTTTCAAAAATACTTGTATTCTCAGGTAACAGATAAGTCGAAGGGATAAGTGTACTCAGTGACGTTTTGCTGCTTGTTTAATTAGTACCGAACAATCTACTTTTTGGGCATGTAATGCTAGGGAACAATGTACTAAATGTAAACGCTACCAGTTGTATTATTCCAATGCTTGGTGATGTATAATGTTATGTTTCATGTATATTCATTGTGATGGTATTCAATTGAGTCACAACAGCCCCCGGACGTTTCCGCCGTCTGGTTCGGGGGTGTGACAGGTTGGTATCAGAGCTTTGTTTATAGTGAACTAGCATATCTAGCCACACATGGATATGCAACTATAAACCAAAAAGAGGGACTAACATAACTCTGAACAAAACAAGTAAATAAAACACCCTTGTTTGCACTAGGAATAGGAACATAACGCCGAACCGAACAAAAATAATACTAGTGTCTCGGTTAATTCGGGACTGTTCTTAGTGATACCAAGGAGTGAATGTAGCCTGATCAACTACATTCTCTCCAAAGTAAAACTAACACACGTCCTGATGAGATCGGGATTTCTAGGGAATCTAAAACTATACCACTACCACCGAAAAGAGAACGTCTGTTTAGCTTTTGCCATAGCGTTAGAATCATAGGAAAGTGATAGCTTATTCTTATACTTTCTCCCAGTCTTCATGGAGGGAGAGCATCAGGGCATTCAGTTCCTCCAAGCCCCAGGGGCACACGGGGTACTCGAAGACGAACCAGAGGGGAATCAAGAGGGAGTCCACGGCGTTGAACCTGACGAGTACATGGACACTGACTACGAGTTCGAGGAGACCGACGATGACATGGAGGAGGATCAGGCCCCGGACATGGGTCACGTCGTATCTCCTGTTAGCGAAGTGCAACAGGATCCCCACGTCCCACCAGTGAACCCCGCGAGGGAGAATCGCTCCCCAGAAGCCGTGATTACCGACTTACGGCAACAACTGTTCGCCATGGAAGCACGAGTCGTGCAAGCAGAGCTTGAGAGGGATGAGGTCATTGTAGACATGACAGAGATGGCGCAGCTGTTGGCTCAGCACTTCGGCATATGATTTCACCGTTATAGTAGGACGCAGTTCATCGCGGTTAGGGATACACTTATCTTAGTAGGTCGTTAGGAAATATGCTATGTACTCCGACTCTATGTTTAAGTGACTACACTACTCATAGAGTCGTTATGCTGTCGAACTAGTGTCACTCATGTATGCTCTTACGAGCAAAATTTTCATGTATCAAATGCGGATAATATTAATAAATTTTTACGTGTTTTGTTACGATATTACAAATTGCTATGTGTTGAGAAATTTTGATTTATTGGTCAATGGTAGTAGTGTTTAAGTTCGTACCATGCACCTAGTCAGTAGGATCACGACCTCACAGAAACAACATAC